TCTTCTTTTTACAGTAGTAGATGGCTAATTCCTTCTCCCTCCCCCCTCCAAAGTCTTCCTTTATGTGCAGTGCCCACAGTCCTGGCTTCTGGGTTCAATTCCATTCCTACAAACAAGTGGAAGAAAACATTGGGATATAACCCAACAAATGTTAGTGAAAAATTTGTGTTATAGCATTTAAAGGGGAAGAGGAGAGTGGTTAAATACTACAGTAGGTAAAATATGAGCAAAACAACTGCAAATCACCAAATAATTCTGGAAAACTAGTACTGCATAACCCTTCAGTTGGGGAATGTGGCGACACTAGGTGTGATTAGATTCTGACTTCATCAGTTCCAGTTAAGCAAGTCCTATGACAAAGGTGTCATGTTCTTCCAAATACTGCAAAGCTAGGCATTCTCCACTACTGTCTTCCTGTTTTTCATTGAATTATTGGGTTGTGGAAGATGAGCCAATGCAGCTCTAGAACCAATAGGTAGCCAGAGGTGGGAGCAAGCACACATTGGACTGGCTCCCAGTTATTCCCTGCTCCCCAAAACATGTGTGAGGTCTGATGCCAAACCACCCTCACACCCCACATTTCACTTCCATCCATTTGAACACAGTGAACTGGAGTGTTCAACTCTTCATTTTGCAGCTACCACAGGATTCATGAAACATCCGGATACTCAGAGGCCATCAGCTACTTCATCACACTAGAGGATGAATCCACTTTAAATCTGGTTTCTGCCTCCTGCAGATTTCTGGGGTTTGTAGTTTGGTGAAGCTGTTAAAGACTCATTCCTAAACTACAAACCCCAGAATTCTGCAGGAGGCAGCAACCGGATTTAAAGTGGATTTATTCTCTACTGTAATGAACTACCAGGTCTATGCTTAGCCCTCATTTGGGTGCTTCGGTTTGACTTGAACAAAGAAAAGAGCTGTGCTATTCACCATAGTTTAAGGACCTCATCACATGGACCTTGAGAAGTGTTGGGGACTGTCTGTATACCAGAGGGAACTGTACTGTTAAATCTCCAATCGTCCCATTTCAAGTTCTGTCTTCCCATCATACGTATTTCCCTCTTCAGGTTTTCCCCCGTTGTTGTCCACATTCTGAACCATTACACGAAGAATCCTTTTCTCCACTCTCTCTGTATTACTGTTTTTTTTAATTAAAAAAAAACAGTTTTGCAAATAGAATTTCTAGGAAGGCCTTTTTCAGTCAACCCTTGCCAATATTTAGTAAACTCCTACTGATGTTGCATGTTTTCTAAAAGGTTGCTTGGTGGTATCAAGATAGCATCACTTTAGACATCGCAGCCAGTATGAAGAAGGTTCATCCAAGTCTTAATTGTGTCCATTGCTTTCAGGTAGGCATGGGCAAACTTTGGCCCTCCAGGTGTTTTGGACTTCAACAGCCGGTAGGTTGTTAAGAATTGTGGTAGTTGAAGTCCAAAACACCTGGAGGGCCAAAGTTTGCTCTTGTTTGCTTTAGGGAAACTCTTAATCAAGAAAAGAGTATGGGATTCCACATTACAAGGAAGTTCTGACATACCAGCCTCAGAACAGACACCAGGGATTTGCAAGTGAGTAATTTAAATAGGTTTGGACACTCTGGAAGGAGGAATAAGAGGCCTGAGGAAAAGTAACATCTTTACACTACATCTTGAAGACTCCTTGACTAGGAAACAGTGTAAAAAAGGAAGAAAATTGCTACTTGTTTTAAATGTGATTCACTTCTCACATTAAAGTTGAAGCCATAGAACCAGAGCTAAGGGTGGGACCAGAAATCTTGCACAATACAATAATTCCCCACATTTCTGTTTTCTTGGGTGGGAAGGACAAAATCTACAGAATGTCACATTAACCATTTCTCTTTCGCACTCATGCACTCAATGCAAATTCTGCCAGAACTTCTGTTGTAAGACTGTAACTCCCGTGGCTTTGAAAAGTGAGTTTTCCCATCTCCAGTCCTGCTTCGTGGCCAGGAGAATGCCCTCAAAGGGTTTTGTGCCTCTCCAAATATGCCACGAAGCAGCCCCAACAGCACTCCTAAGAGACAGAATACTGCAAAATAAAGCAGAGGTGTGAAAATAAGTTTTAAAATAGGAAATTGAGAGGGTGCTTGAGTAGTTATGGGGTGGTCTTTGGGGTCCCAGGTGCTGTAAGGGAAACCTTGGCCATGCAAGGAGCCAAAGAGACAGCGTAAGAGCGATAACAAAGGGAGGGAGAGCTCTTACAGGTAGTAGAATCTTGGCTGCTACAGACCACCCTGGTCTTTCCACAGATATATAAACCCATTTTCCTAGTTCCAACAGACCTCACTACCTCTGAGAATGCTTGCCATAGATGCAGGCAAAACATCAGGAGAGAATGCCTCTAGACCATGGCCATATAGCCCGAAAAAACCTACAACAACCCAGTGATTCCGGCCATGAAAGCCTTCGACAATACATCATCATCATCATCATCATCATCATCATCATCATTATTATTTGAAACACAACAAGATGAGTCCACAGCAATCAAGATCACTCTGCTGGCTGTTGTATTGGATCACACGTCGGACAATCGAAGTATCGGCAAATAATGCATGCAGATCCCAGTAAGGTGGCCTTTTGCAGGGGGCAGATGGTAATTTTGTCAGCGCCAGTTGTGCTTAAGTGCAGGCCAAGGTCTTTAGGCACTGTACCCAGTGTGCCGATCACCACTGGGACCACCTTTACTGGTTTGTGCCAGAGTCTTTGCAGTTCAATCTTTAAATCCTAATATCGTGTCAGATTTTCCAGTTGTTTCTCTTCAATCCTGCTGTGGGATTATTATTATTATTATTATGATTGATAATACTATATTTACTCAAATCTAAAGCTCATCTTTTTTTGGCCAAAACATCTTGCCAAAATTAGGGTGCACATTAGATTCAAATAATACTGTCATCTGGAGCCTTTTTTTTTTTTTTTGAGGGATATTATCTATAATTTAATTCTCATAGATCGATGCTATGCAATCCTGGTATTTGTATTGGTGAGGCAGCTGCACTCTTTGGCAGAAAAGGCTCAAGGTTTAGCAAAACTACCATCCCCATGACTCCATAGCATTGAACAAAGGCTGTAGAAGTAGATTCATTCTACAGCAGAGATGCACCCCAAGGTTTTTTCTTTCTTTCTTTCAGATTACTGGAAGCTTTAGTGCTCCGAGGGCCCTTCCACACAGCCATATAACCCAAAAAATCAAGGCAGAAAATCCCACAATATCTGCTTAGAACTGGGTTATCTGAGTCCACACTGCCATATATTCCAGTTCACAGCAGATAATGTGGGATTTTCTGCCTTGATATGGCTGTAAGGAAGGGCCCTAATGCTTTTGTTTTTAAAGCATTTTAATGGCTACATTTCAATGGCTATATTACAAAGAGTGCACCTTTTGCCACTCCGCATTACATTCAGCAGCAAATACTTTTTTGGCTTCTGGTGGCGCATTAGACTCGAGTAAATACAGTTATAGAGCAAGTTCAGGAAATTATCCTCTCTAACTGTCTCAATTTGGCAAAGACTGTTCTGCTTAATCCTCTGTTGACCTATTTTTTCACTGCTTTTAAAATGCTTTTATTTGTCCTTTGCTTGCTTCTTTTACTGCAGAGTAAGTTCAAAACATAAAAGTCATTTAAAGTCATCCGTTTCCTTTGGCCAGGGTCTCCTGCAAAGGGCCAGATCCCACCCGCTTCTCCGCACTGCAAGGAATTAATAGAGACTGTGCCTCAATTCTCAGCAACCAGCAGCTCCAGTGACGGCTGTATTTTTAGCTGTCACGTTATAAACAGGTTTTCTGGGTAAACGAGCCACTCAAGGATTTGGAGCAGCACCCGCTAGTCGTGTCTCAGCAAGTAACTGTGGCAACAAAGGACAGCTTGAGGCATACAGTGCCATTCTGAAGCTATCTGCAGAAAATGCTTACAGATTTTTTTTTTTTTAAAAAAACGCATTCATAAATCCTATTCCAGTTGGGATTAGTTTGCATCATTCCGGTGCTTCTAATGAAGGCCCTTTCAGGATTTTCGATAAGTGGCTGAGCTCTATCTCCTAAGCAAATCAGCTCTACCATCAGGCGAGCAGTGGCAGCAAGCTTTGAGTGTTGTGGAATGGCAGTAAATTACACTATGTAACAAAATTTTGGAAAATGTTCTGTTCTTGGTTTGAAAGTGGTATTACCTGTTTAATTGTGCAGTACTTACTTAAAAAGTAGTAGTTCTACTACAGAAACTTTGTTTTTTTGGCTTCCACAAACTAGGTTGAATTGGTTGAGACTTGATGATGAGAAAAGAACAACAACAACAACAACAACACTTTATTTGTATTCTGTCCTTCTCCCCTTGAGGACTCAGAGCGGATTACAGTGTACACACATACCGGCAAACATTCAATGCCTTGTTATAATACAATGAGACACACAAAGGCAAAAGCAAAGGCTTCTCCTTTCATTTCTGGCTTTGGAGGCAGTGCTCATTTCTGGCTCTGAGGGAGGTGCTGTTCTCCATTTCCAAGCCAAGAAACCTGCATTCTCACCTTTTGGTCATGTGACTGGCACGACTGCTTGAAGTGTCTTATGTCTTTCCCACCAAAGCGGTACCTATTTATCTACTCACATTTGCATGTTTTCGAACTGCTAGGTTGGCAGGAGATTGGGCTAACAGCGGGAGCTCACCTCATCTCATGGATTCGAACTGCCTACAGGATGTCCTACAGAAACAGTTTTTGCAATTTAATAAACCTTTTCCATTGTTTTTTTGACAAAACCAATTAAGAAATGACGTTTATAACCCAGAAACAAAAAATGTGTTACATAGTGTTATTAGTAATTGGGTTTGATATTGGGATTTTTGGCTGCCAAGGACATAGAGTGATGCCTACATGAGATTCCATCTCATTTTCTGTTGCCTTGGAGACTAGGAATCAATGGAGCAATGGGTTAAAATTGCAGGAAAGGAGATTCCAATTGAACATTTGGAAGAACTTTCTGACCGTAAGAAGTGCTGTTCAGCAGTGGAACTCTCTGCCTTGGAGTCTGGTGGAAGCTCCTTCTTTGGAGGCTTTTAAACAGGCTGGATGGGCATCTGTCAGTGCTTTTGTTGTGCATTTCCTGCATGGCAGAAAGGGGTTAGACAGGATGGCCCATGAGGTCTCTTCCAACTCTAGGATTCTGTGTTTCAAAATAACTTGCCTGGTTTTGGCTAGTATGCGCTACTTACTGTTTTGTTTCTTCCGGCAATAACATTCTTCAGGGCAGTCCTGCTCAGAAGCCGCAGCACAGTAGAAAAGGGATGGTTTGGGGGACAACCGGCTTGTCCTGCTCTCATGCTTGTTTGCTAAACACAAGCAACGGGAGGACAAAGCTCACCTGGAAAGTTCTGCGGGTAGAAAGTCCAAAGCACAGCTCCTTGGCTGATTGACCACTGGAATATTTACACTGGCAGTGGAAGGATGGCCTCCACCACACCTGATGTGCAACCGAAATGGGCAAAGTTAATGGCTTAGTCTCTATAGCAGGCATGGGTAAACTTGGGCCCTCCAGGTATTTTGGACCTCAACTCCCACAATTCCTAACACCCTCAGGCCCTTTCCTTTCCCCCCTCAGCCACTTAAGTGAAAAAGTAGAAGAAAAGGAAGGGAGCTGAGGCTCTTAGGAATTGTGGGAGTTGAAGTCCAAACACCTGGAGGGTTTCCATGCCTGCTCTATAGCCATTCAGGGAGAGAGTTCAAGAATAGAGATTGGCTGCATTGATCTTCCACTATTTGAGAACAACAGATGAGGTGGAATGCAAGAGGATAGAAGGGGAAGAAAAGGAAAGACATTAACATAAGTACTCATATACAAGTCGACCTCGTATATAAGATTTTGGGACCAAAATTATGGATTTTGATATGGCCCATAGAAACATCAAGGCACATGTGTCAGCCTCAACGTCCATAGGCCACATCCAGCCCACCCATGTCATTTTATGTGGTCCTCCTGTATTCCTCCTCAATAGACGTCAGGACTAGAGCTGATGGGAGTTGTGGTACAATCACATCTGGAAGGCTGCAGCTTGTTCTGTTGATTCAGAAGAGTGGGATTTGGACTGATATACAAAATTTGTGGATATGATGTCTACCTATAAAATATCCTTTAGCCTTTTCCCAACCTCAGAGATACAAGTCCTTTTGCGTTGCAATTCCCATCATCCCCTGTCCATATGGCAGATAATCAAAAGTGATGGGAGCTGTTATTCAAAAACATCTGGGGACCCAAATTGGTCACAAACTAAGGAGCACTGACCACTGTATTAAAAACTTATAGTTGGCCCTCTGTATCCATGGATTCAATCTCCAGAGCTCTATTGCAACACATTTGGAAACAGCAAGTTTCAGAGCAGAAAAAGGATGAAACAGCCTCCTGATCTGCTTCCAAGGGAGATTCTTGTGCACTACATTCAAGCACAGCATTGGCCCGACAGTGCTTGCCCATTCTTCCTTGAATCTTTGTCGTATCAACTCTTTTCAGCTCCCAAATCAGGCTTTACCTTAAGGGTTGCCCTTTTTTTTTCACAATACTTGCTTATTCTCACAATAAACCTGAGAAGCAGATCAGGTTGAAAGTCAGGGAAGGACCCAAGGTCACCCAAAGCATTTCAAGGCTCTGGATCTCTTTGCACATGATTTGGGGAGCTGGAGTTTGCTCATACCTGGTCTAGATCAATGTTTCCCAGGTGTTTTGGACTTCAGCTCTCAGAATCCCTGATCATTGGCCAAGGCAGGTGAGAGGAAGCCCAAACCACCTGGAGGACTAAGATTCGGGAATAATTGTTCTAAATCAAGGGGAATAATAGTATCACTCTATTATTCTGCTTTGATCAGCTTGAAGACTGTGTCCAAATCTGGACACCACAACTTACAAAGGACATTGAAAAGCTGAAATGCGCCCAAAGAAGGGCAGCCAAAATGAGGGATGGTTTAGGGAGCTGGGCATGTTTAGCCTGCAGAAGAAAAGATCAAGAGGCGACCTGGCAGCCACGTTTAAATATTTGGAAGGTCTTACTGAAGATGGAGCAAGCTGTGTTCTCCTGCTCCAGAAACTGGGACACAATGGAGCCATGGATTCAAATTGCAGGAAAAGAGAGTCTACCTAAACATTAGGAATGATGGTAAGAAGTGTTTGAGAGTGGAATATGCTGCTGCCTTGGAGTAAGGCAGAGTCTTCTCTGTCGGGAGTGCTTTGATGGCGCATTCTTACATGGCGGAAGAGGGTTGAGCTGAATGGCCTTTGTGGTCTCTTGCAACACAATGATTGCAGTGCCTTGTGCCAGTGACCTTAACAACATTGACAGATCTCCTTGGACTGACCCATTTTTCTTTCTTCTAATGGAATGTGCTGTTCTGTGTTTCTACTATAAACTTGGAGTGTTTTCAGTGTCATGCTCTCTCACGCAGGAAAAGGTTTGGACAAATATTCAGATACGAACGTCAACAAAAGAAATGCTAAGGAAGGATGATTCAGAATTGAAGTGAAGGAGAAAGAAAACAAAGCCCAAAAAGTCATGTCCTGATTAAATACAGGTCTCTCTAGAAGTGACTTAAAATGCTGGTTAGTGTTGGATGAGACTAAGGAGCTCAGGCTTCCCAACCAGCCATACATTTGGATGTGTGACCGAGGGACAGCCACCTTCATTCCATCCTATACACCTCAAAGGACTGTTGTGAGCATAAAGTGCAGGGAAGGAGAACATGGGCTGCCTGGAGCTTATCCAAGAAAGGGTGAGCTATAAATGCAACTAATAAATAACATACAATGACCCCTTCCAAATTATAAACTTGGACGATTCTGTGGAGGCCATCAACAAGCTGGTTTTTGCTGTAAGTGTTTGATTTGCTAATGAATACGGATCTTATCACGTTGAGATATAATTCATTTCTGAGACTCTTTGAACACAATTCTGAACGGATCCTATCACAAAACATTTGCCCGATTCAACCAGTAATCTGTCGGAATCCCTCTGCAAAATGTCACAGAAACAGACTAATTGCCCATGGGATTCTAATCATGTTTTTACAAATTTTACTACAATTTTATACGTTGCGTGCATGCTGTTCTTATGTGTGATCAGAAATTCGGCGTGCATCCCATTTGCTAAACTCTTGCGAGAATGATAGTTTGAAACCCAAGCTATATCACTGCACAAGATTGGAAAAATAAAAATAAAAATAAAAAAATAAAAAAGTGAGGCATTTGAATGTATTGGGAGGAGCCCGCCTTCTGTGACATGGTGAGTCAAAGCGCACTATTTTCAAATCGTAAGAATCAGGTGTGATGGGGAAGAGTACGGGATGCATACTGATATAAACAGATTATATCCCAATGAGCTAAGGTTCTAGGACGCTTCCTTAATCAGAGTCTAGAACTAAAACAGACCCCCTTAAATGAGCAGCAGTGACTTCTGATCGCTGGTGGCAACTAACCGCTGAAGATGAGCTAACACTGGGGTGGCAACGACTCATGTGTTTTGGCACCGTGAGAGTTGAGAAGGGGTGCTTTCCATAAATCCCACCTCCTAAAGTCCTCCACATTTAGGAGTTATGCTCTGGTTGCTTCTGCAATGTACGGTAACTCCTTGCTGTTGTATTTTTAGGGCTATACTGCAATAACTGAGGCCACACTGAAAAAAAGTACCATCATTATAATACAAACTCGAAAGAAGATAGTTAGAGGGTATGGAAGACAAATGTAGAGATGAGAAGAGGCAATTATCCTGTTGTCGATGGATTGCGCTCCTTCCAGTATTCTTCACTCGGACCGATGGCTCTGTAGTTTAATCCTATCTAAAGGGCAAGAGGATTCCCACTTGTGCATGTATCTTCCCCAGTCCCTCACTCCATGACATCCATCACAGTCCCTCATTCCATCACACTGGGGAGTTGCGGTGGTGTAATGGGTTAAACCCTTGTGCTGTTGAACTGCTGACCTGAAGGTTGGCAGTTCGAATAAATGGGACAGGGTGAGCTCCCACTGTTAGCCCTAGCTCCTGCCAACCTAGCAGTTCAAAAACATGCAAATGTGAGTAGATAAATAGGTACTGCTTTGGCAGGAAAAGGCAAAGAGATCCTCCAAGCAATCTTTCCGGCCACACAATCAGGAGGTGGCAACGCAGGCTCCTTGGCTTGAAAATGGAGAAAAACATCTCCCCCAGAGCCAGAGACAAGCACTGCCTCCAAAAGCTGGAAATGAAAAAGAGATGCCTCTGCCTTGTCAGTGTTTGTGTGTCATTTTATGTGATTGTGAGGCATTGAATGTTTGCCTATGTCTACTGTAAATGCTGTAATCCGCTCTGAATCCCCTAGGGGAGAAAGGCGAAATAAAAATAAAGCACATTTTTTATTATTATTATTATTATTAACATCATCATTGTTATTATTATTATTATTATTATTATTATTATTATTATTATTATTCCCTTTCCAGTTTTACATACAATTCTTTCTATCATATTATGCTTCAATAGATGAAGTCTCCTGCTCAGAGCACTCACTATAAGCCATATGTGCCTTCAATTTGCCTTTCGGTGACTCCATGAGTTTCACAAGGTTTACTCAGAGATGGTTTTGCAAGTTCTTTCCTCTGAAATACAGCCTACAGCATCGGGTATTTGTTGCTGGTCTCCCATCCAAGTACTAACTAGCACTGACCCTGCTTAGCTTCAAAGATCAGGTGGAATCTGGTGCATTTATGGTAGCTCACAAGGAAGAAAAGCTTGCCTCTCTCTGGAGACTAGATTTCTAGAGGGTGGACTTCAGCTCATGATGATCTATCACATGGTTGCAGACAGACAGGCCTTTGGGCAGAAGAATGAGGAAGCAAACTACTCATTTGCCCAGAAGGTTGGGAAACCGGAGCTGAAAAGTGGCACTTTCAATGGACTCAGTGGACAAAGAAATAACTATGTAGGCACAAGTTAGGGCAGGGTTTCTCTAACCTTTACAGCCACTAAACCCTTTTTAAAGCAAAAGTTTATCATGGAGCCCCAAGAAACTATATTGTATTACATTGTATTACATTGTGTTACATTGTGTTACATTACATTACATTACATTATATATCCAAGAGTATTGAAGGAACTAGCAAAAGTCATTTCGGAACCACTGGCAACCATCTTTGAGAGTTCTTGGAAAAGTCCCAGCAGATTGGAGGAGGGCAAATGTGGTCCCTATCTATCATCAAGAAGGGGGGGGGGGGGAGGACAACCCAAACAATTATCATCCGGTCAGCCTCACATCGATACCAGGCAAGATTCTGAAAAAGATCATGAAGGAAGTGGCCTGCAAAC